CATTAATATTAAAATGACTTGGCATTGACACATAAGCAAGAATCACGTCACGTCACTAAAAATTAAATAAGTATCAAATTGAATGAGAGACTAAATTCAAACACTTTAAAATATGGACTAAAATAGTGATTTTGAAAGTGGGAGATCAAAATCAACAAAACGGTTAAATAGGAAAACCAAAATTGCATTTAAGCCTATAAATAAATAGTTAGTTTTTAAATTATTCATTTTTCTTTCATTTGTTACATAAATTATTAAACTCCAGTTTTTGAACTATTCTCATAATCTATATAATTAGAGAGGACTTGGGTCCTCTACGTTATTTTTCTCTTCTCTCTAGGAGTCTTCGTTGTGCGGTTTGGACAATTTTAACGCAAAAAGTCATCTGAACCGTAAGAGAAAAAGACGTGCGGTTTGGTTTGGTTCAGTTGGTTTTTAGAAATAATCAAAGTCAAACTAAACCAATGTGGTTTGGTTCAGTTCGATTGGTTCAGTTTTTTACAAATATTTTATTGAACCATACATACACATATAGGTGATACTATGATTTTGTATTTAGTTATTCATACACTACCAAATAACAACAAAACTAATCATATTTGGACAACAACTTCCCATTTAATATGTGAAAATTAGATTAGACAAAAGTGAAATAATAAACATAAAATAATAGCATAAAATAATATCAAAATAATTATAATAAAACAAAAAAATAAAATAGATGATAGATTAGTGAAGATGAACAAGAAAGAACATAAAAGAGGAGATATTAGAGAAGAATATGTGCGATAAAAACAAAATTGAAAGAGACAACATTTGCATAAGAATGAGAAGGTGAAAAAGGAAGAATATAAGAGAGTAGAGATTAGAGAAGAAGAGGCAAGATGTATGTGGCAAAGATGGTGCAATAATGTTATGAGAGATTTAAGAAGATTGAAACTGAAACCATAAGTATAAGAATGAGAAAATTGTTTGTAATCATAAGACAAAGGTATAATAGGTTTATGTTTGGCTTGGATGTGAGTTAAGTAAAATTTAAGTTGTAAGATAATGCAGTTTGATTCAGATTGGTTCAATTTATAAAATACAAACCGCAACTAAACCGAATCGTGCGATTTTATTAAAAAATGATCTAAACAAATACAAATTAAATACCGTATTTTGTGGTTTTTGTTTGGTTTAGTTTGTGGTTTTCTATTGGATTGGCTGGTTTGAACACCCCTACTCCTTCTCTCCCCTAACTCTCTATCTATTTTTTAATCTCACTCTCATTTATTATTAAAATAAAATATAATTAAGAGAGAGAATAAAATAAATATAAAAAAAAAAGAGAGAAAAAATAAATGAATCCAAAATGATAATTAAATGAAAAAATAAATTAAAATGAATTTTAATTATTAATATAAATCTTAAGATTATATTTGAATATCATAAAATAAATATAGTAAAATGAAATGAAATGGAACAAAATAAAATTTTAATTTCATTATTTGAGTATTTTAAATGAGAGCAAGCCAAAATTTTCATTTCAACCAAATCAAAAGGGACGAAACAAGATGACAAATGATGAAATAAAACATAATTTATATTATTTCTTTATACTCCTCTCTAATTTTAATTAATTCAAATGATAAAACTTGATTTCATGTCATTTTATTTTGTCATATTCCATCAATTCAAAAATATATAATTTTTTTTAAAAAACATTATTAATATTAGACTACAATATGACTTGCATGTTGCACTGATGTGTTAAATATATTTTTCATGTTTTATGTAATTAAAATAATTAAAATACTTTTTAAGATATGACTTTGTTAATGTAAGATTAAATTATCTCTTAAAAAAATAAAATTACTTTATATAAATAATATATAACTATTAAATTATAAAATTTGTTATTCTAATGTTAAAAACAAATAAAATAATATTTTATATAATATACTTTTTCATTCGTTAAGATTTAAACTTGTGACTTCAAATAAAAATTCAATATATGATTATTTTTTTGAGAAGTGGTGAATTTTAGAAAACATACTCAATTAATTAAGTATATTTAGTTGAAATAATTTGTGTTATTAGAATTTTTAATTTAAAATGAGTTTTAAATCCATATCTCTCAAAATAGTTCTTATAATAAGAATAAAATGTTATAATGAGTTGAATCCCGAATATGGTATTGATATATAAGAAAATAATATATATTATATTTTGTATTTGAGTTTTTACAAAATAATTTTAATATCAAATGTTAAAATTAATAATTGAGTATTTTTTGTTATAAATAGTACGATGAAAGAGTAGTATAATATTTTGTTTTTTTTTAAAATAATAATTTAAAATTATTTTAGATATATTATATGGAAAAGATATGAAAATTTATTTTATTTTAATTTTATTAATTAAAAAATAATTGTAAGAAAAATAAAAATATTATTTTATAAGTTTTATGAGAATGTGGAAGTAGTTATTAGGTTAATATATTTTTGTATATTTTAATTTTATAATTAAAAAACTATTGAAAGAAAAATAAAAATATTGTCTAATAAATTTTATGAAAATATATAATTTGTTATTAGTTTAACATTTTTTTTTATTTTCAGGATTCGAACATGTGATTTCAAATAATGATTCTATGTGATTTTGAATTTTTAAAAGTGAAAATAAATTTTAAAAGATGTTATATATAAATATGAGTGATGTAACAAAAATAATTTTATGTGGAAAATATATTGAAAGTCTATTTTAATATATATAATAGAATAGTATAAATATATAGCATCATTTAATCTCAATATATTTTAAATAATCAATTAATATTGTTTTCTAGTAAGTTGACTTGTTTTTATTTTAGTTTCTAAAAAATTTTTTATGAAATTATTTTTCTTTTGGTGTTAATCTCTGATATTAAACTTTTGTTATAAAAAGATGATGTGGCAAAAGTATTTTTATAAAACATTTTCTTTCTCATTTTATCTTCCACCTTCATTTTTTTTCACCTTCAAACTTAATCTTCGACCTCTATTTATTTTTACATTCAAACTCAATGTTAATTCCTAATCAAACATATTTTAAAGACTATGATATTATTCAAAGAAAAAAATTTTAATTTTTTTTTTTGTATGAAGATTGGAGATTAAGATATGAACATAAACTCATAATTTTAAATAAAATAATATTTTCGTTCCTGTAAATTAGTAGGCTATTTGTTTTGATCTTTATTTCTGAATTTGTGTTTATATCTTCATCCCCAACCTCATCATACAAACTCAAATTATTTCAAATTGATATAAAAACATGTGTTTATTTATGAACATGTTACATCTTCATCGATCATTCTTCAACTACACATTAATTAATTTTGTTTTCAAATAATCAAAACAACACGGTTAATATTCATTTTTATTAATTCATTTTGAGTTTTTCCAAACCTTCATCAGTGTTGATTCAACATAGTGTATTATAAATTTGGCCAAATAATAACAGAATTCAAATAGTATTGTCTGGTTTCTCAATGTTATATTTGAATTATATTATAATTAATAACATAATAAAATTAACAACTAATAAAAAAAATAGTTAAATTTGTTTTCACTAGGAGAGGATTATTTGTCATTTGTGTAAATTGTATACACTTCGCCACTATTATCCTAATTTATAAAAAAATTGAATTTTCTGCTACATTAATTTTGTTTACTAGTACAACTCTATAACTCTATTTATTTTAGATACATTATTATTCGATAAATCTTTAATATATTAAAATAGAATACACATTTAGAAGTTAAATTTTAAATAAAATTCCGCCTAAGTAATTATATTATATTCTTTTATCTTTCTAACAAATATTATTTAATATATTAATTAATATTTAATATTAATTACTCCAACTCATTATTACACCACCACCCACCACTATCTTTCTAACAAATATTATTTAATATATTATTTAATATTTAATATTAATTACTCCAACTCATTATTATACCACCACCCACCACTAATTTCTATGTTCTTGAACTATTCAATCAATAAAACTAATTTCTATGTTCTTCAAGTACTCAATCAATAAAAATTCAAAAAAAAAAACTTCTCACATCTATGTCATTAATTAAAGTAATTCTAAAATATATATGTACTAGTAATTATTTGACAGAACACAATTCAATTGTTGTAGAATTAATTACATTAACCTCACTTATTTTGATAATTAATACTGTTAAAAAGGTTGCTACGTTAGTGTTAATAAGGATGAAAAATAATATATTTGTCTCTTATATAGACTACATGACATGAGTGAGTATGATCGATTAAAAAATGGAATAAACATGTTTTATACGAAATTGAAAAGGAAACAAAAAGGGAAAAAAATGAAATGGACCACAGAACCTCTTAAACAAAAATGAAATAAGTCTATTAGGGACCACTATTAAACAAACACGAAACAAAACAAGGACCACTATTAACTACTAAAGATTAAATAATCTACTCAAATAGAACCAAGAACCACAAAATAAATCATTAAACAATTTGTATACAACCAACACAAAACAAATAAAATTCTTAGACAAGAATACATCGTAAATTGAAACTAAATCATACACACACGTCACGAGACAAATGAACATGCATGCATAGGAAATAGAACACCAAATCAAAACTCAAATTGAAATTGAAACCAAAACCACAACATAGTACAAAATTGGAGAAAGTAACTTGACAATGAACATCAAAAAAACAGAAAGAGGGGAAGAAAAATTGTTAACCTTTACACAAGAAAACAGAACATGCATAAAGTTACTAGTACTGGTACACAAACATAGGCAATGTTTTGAAAAACATTGTCTTTTAATTAAAAACATAAAACAAACAAAACATAACATCTTAATTAACTCTAACAACCAAGTTTATCCTTCCCCTACTTAACTTAACCTTCATTAATTGCCTAATAATCCTCCTAACTAAAAGGCATTTACCTAATTAATCTTATCATTAATTTCTTAATTCCCATCACCTGAAGATTTGAGGTAAAGGGTTTCGCCCGAGTGACCGCTAGAGCTTCCACCGCGGCCATCAGCTGTGCTTCCAATATCTTGCTTACCGCTACCATGCAAACCGTCTCCATTCGAGACACGGCCGAAGTCAGGAAAACCTCCTACATTAGTGCCTTCACTATGCATCATGTGAAGGCCTTGACTTCCACTTGAATTCATACCAAGCTGGCTTTGCAAAGCATGTTGCTGTTGAAGTTGTTGAGCATACAATAAGGAGGAACGTGCAGCCATTAGTTGTTGCTGTGTCATCTGTTGAGCTTGTTGAGACTGCATGTAGTGTCCTCCCTGCTGCATCATTCCGCTTGAAGGATACTGCAATGTTGTTCAAGTGATTGTGAGGCCTAAATATATATAATCAAGATTATACAGAAATAGCATACTCCCCTTACTGTTGTGAGGTTAAGTGGTTTATTAGTGACCACAAGTACTTGTATCAACATTCTGGAAATAGCTAGGTATGTGTGTATGTATTATGTACCTGACCAGGCATGGTAGGTGGTTGGGGTTGAGAATCAGCTATTGCAGCTAGGTACATGAGATTTCTCTGCAACCTTGATTGGTTCCTGAAATTATAGCAAAAATCATTGTTATGTTTAGGGAAAAATCCAAGATTTTGATTTCTATAAAACCTCCCTCCCCCACACACAAGAGTTTTTTTTTGTAAAACTTGAAGATCTAGTTTCTAAAAAGGGTTGTCCTAAAGTTGCAACTTTTTTGCTTTGAAACTTTGTCAATGATTATATAGAACTGTCAAAATCAATTTTTTATAAGGTTTGTGGGGTATGTATATGTATAATATATCTCAAATCTTAGAAAAAAGCCTGCAAAATATAGAAAGTCACATATGAGAAAAGAGTTCTTACTCGGCACATTCGGTGAGTTTGCCAGAGTTCTGGCTTTCAACAATCTTGAGGATTAAGGACTTGTTCTCATCCAGGTACTGTTTGAAAAAAGAGAAAAGAAAAAAAGTCAAAAACAAAAAAAAAGTGCGACAGGAAAAGTATCCAATGAAGTTTGAACAGAAGGTGGAATGAGAAGAGAACCTGTTGAATATGATCAGTGGTGACGTTGTTGGGATAGTAAGCTGCCATCATAGGCTGCATCTGCATCAGGTGCTGTTGCTGCATTTTTCAAATATCACTTAATCCAAACAAAGGTCTGAGAGAGCAGGAAACAGAACACAACACACTTTCTGAAACAGAGGACTCTGTTTTTCTCTGTCCTGATGAATGATGATGATGCTACTAAACTACACTGTTTGTTGTTATCAGAGACAAGAGAGAGAATGTGAAGAATGGTTTGAGGCGGTGAAGAGAGAAGAAACTCTTTCTTATCTGCAATGGCAATGAGGTGTGCCTCTACAAGTAGAAGAACTAGATGGGAGCTGCGTGTCTTTTTCTCACTCCGAATTCCCAAAACTGTCCAACTCACGTGATGCCCTCGTCATACATATACATTTGCTTGTCGTTTTTTATTGGAAAATGCTTACAACTTCTCGTTGCTCTTATAATAATAAGAAATTATTATAATTATTATTTGAAATATACTGTCAATAATGAAAATCTTCTATTTACAAAATATCAATTTAACACACTATGTTAAATTATAACATTTATAATTTAAATACTATATATACTATGTATTGAATTTATATAAATAATATAATCTCTTATGTTTTTATATTTTTTTTAATTTATTTTAAATATTCGTCTTATCTTAACAGGTAATGTTTCTATTATAAGTTTTTACTATATTAGATATATATTTTATACTTATTACTTTAATCTTATTATTGTTGTTATTATTATTATTTGTTCTAGTTATAGAAAACTGGCAATCAATGAAGTGATTTATAACCATCTGAAATTATTATTATTTATCTTGGTTATAGAAAACTGACAATCAGTCAAGTGATTTATAACTATAGTGATTATTATTACTATTATTATTATTTGTTTCGGTTATAGAAAACTTACAATCAGTCAAGTAATTTATAATTAAAATGACTATTATTGTTATTATTATTTTACTTCTTATTATAGAAAACTGACAACTCGTGAAGTACTCTATAATAAGTAAAGATATTCTTATTATATATGTTGTGTGAAGGTTTAAAACCATATATGACGTTACTAAATTTTATATTTAGTGGAGGTTTAAAATCTCATGTTGTTACTACATTTGATATTAGGAGTGGCAAAGCGGACGGCTCGCCCCGTTTAGGCCCATCCCGTTTAAGCCTGTTCAAAAGTGGGGCGGGACGGGGCGGACCAACTTAGGTGTCCGAGTTCAAAAGTTAAGTTCACCCCGTTTATCAACGAGTTGGCGGGTTAGCGGACCGGCTCGCTAATTTTTATTTTTTTATTCTACAATTTGATTTACTACATAATTTAATTTTTTTTAATTATTATCAAAGAGGTCGGCAAAATAAATTTTTTAACAACGTATAATAGAACTTCAACATGTCTTCAGTCCAAACAATTCAAAAAATAAAATAAATAAAGACCTATTACAATATATAAACTCTTATATTGACTGATTTCTTAATAGTTAATGTTAAATTTGTCACATGTATACATTAATCAAATCATTCATTTTTTTAAAAATAAACATCTATTTCTAAAGAAAACATCTGAGCTAATGTATTGACAATATAATAATTATGCATGTCATATGTAACACCCCAAAAATCTAGATTAATTATTTAATTAATTTAGTATGAATATCAGTGATTATTGGTGAATATATGAATTATAGCAAATTAGTCGATGCGATATAATTATATGAGTTGGTGGATAATATGATGTGATACCTTTGTTAAGAATCTGATGCCTTAAAATTGTTGAAGTTGAGATTATATATGTGATAGGTTAAAAGTGTAGAATCATGGAGTGTGTGGAATAACATAGATTATTATTATTATTATTATTATTATTATTATTATTATTATTATTATTATTATTATTATTATATTATTAGGATTACTATTATTTTATTATAATAATAATAATTAAATAATCATTTATTGGGATAGTTATATTATTAGTAGAGACTATATTAGAGTAAGAATAAGGAATTATAGTCAATACGTAAAAGCAGAGAAAGAGAAGCATAGAAGTGAGAAAAGAAGAACGAAGAGAATAGCATACAAGTTATGGCGAGGAATCTCCGGTGGAGGGCTTAGAATCCTCAAACTTAAGGTAAGGATGGAGTTTTGACTCTATAATGTGTGGCTTAATTGTGAGTAGATGGTGATATTGAATGTTAGGTTTTCAGTGTAAATTGTTATGAAATTGATTATTGTAATTGCTTGTAAATGATGAAATTGATGTGTTGATTATGTTGGAAATGTGGTATATGATGTGTGTTGATGAATTAAAATAATTGATGTGTTTGATCTTTCATAAAAAATGGTTTTTGGATGAAGATGATGGGATTTCGTAGCAGAAATATATGGTTTTTTTTATTATTTTGGAACCGTGGGAATCGGTTACCATATATGGGTACCCGGTTACCACTCAAAAAATAGCGTTTTTGGCATTTCTGACAGGGGGTAACCGGTTACCATATATGGATACCCGTGTACCCTACTGAACTGACATATTTTTGAAAACTTGAAAACTCCATAACTTTTGATTCGGGTGTCCGTTTGACGCGTCGTTTGGACCATTGGAAAGCTAAAAATATTTTCTACAATTTGGTAATAATCTTGATGACACTATAATAATGTTTTATTAGAAGAATTATGATGTGTGCGTATGTTGTATGTGTTGTGATGCAAAATGTTGTTATTAATGGTATCGATGTTGTATCGATGAGATGTGAAGGAATTAGGAGGTGATGTTATTGCCTCTATTTATAGGCAAAATATTAAGTTGTGGGCTTATGGACAATGTTGGTTTGTTATTGTGTTAATATGTGTTATACCCCAAAATTTTCCCTCTCTTTTCTCAAAACATTTCTCACCAAAGGTTTGAAATGCTCAAGGATTCTCAAGGTTTGATCAGACAAGCTCACCTCCTAAGCATTGAGTCCACAAATTAGGGTATTGGTTTTCTCAAGGAAAATTGGACGTTTGATGCTTCAAATGACTTTCATGGTTCATTATAGGTCTTCAAGAATGCTCATACCAAGTTTCAAGTCTTGCACCACAAATTTGCTCAGTCAATTACTCAGATGACTGAAAATCAACTGTATTGGGTAAAAAGTCAACTATGGTCAACATACAGTCAAACTTCATGATTTTTGACCAACATCAATATTTTGAAGTCATGTCCATCAATTGATCAAGGGTTGATCACAATTCCTTAAGAAAAGCACCCAAATCATCAAAAGGGCAAAATTGTCAAAATTAGGGTTTTGATTTAGAATGACTGATCAACGACTTTTGACCTAGTACATGACCTAATGGCTTTAAGCATGATATAAAGGGCTCAAACACAATATATTGACCTAATTTCATGGCTCAAAACATTTCTCAAGATCAATGGATTGATAGTTGAAATTTAATCAACTGATGAAAAGTCAACTGATACACAAAAAGTCATACTTTGACTTTTTGGTCAACATTGAAATTCAAAAGATAAAGGTTCGTCAAGACCTTCAAAAATATCAAACTTGATCATCAAGAATCAAGAAAGTCAAGAAAATTCAATAAAAGTCAAGATTTTGAAGACTTAGAAAAATTCTAAGTGTTTTGTAACCTTGATAATTTCACTACTTCATGACAATTTCTCACCAAGATGCAAGATGATTCAAGGAAAACTTTCAACATGAAAGTTGTAGATATTGATGAATTGTACAACTTTTTCCCTTAGGGTTAATGTCCAAAAAATGCTTAGATTATGAGATATAGGCCCATGAAGTCATGACTTTTTATCAAAAACACTTAGTGAAATTTTCATCAAGTTAGGCAGATTTTTTGTCCCAACTTCTTGGAAATTTTTCACCAAGTTCCAAGTTGATTTAGCCAAAGTGATCAACATGAAGGTTGTATACAATATTTCAAGCTTTCCAAAATATCCAAAAACTTTAAAATATCATGCTTGATCTAGGAGAATCGAAGAGAAGAAGTTGAGCATCCATTCTTGAATTTTAGGTCATTTTACGATGAACCTTATGATCCAATCTTCAAGCATGCTGCATAATCTTGCTTTGCAGGCCTTCAAACTTACAAATCACTCAAAAATTAAATGTTTATACAACTTATTGAGCTATGATCCAAGTGCTTGAGCCATTGTCCAAGTGATTAATCCATTTTTGGCACAAAGGTAACATTGCCATTTTGGAAAAGTGGCTTTAATCACAAAGTCCACTCTCGTTGAGCTTTGCACTTGTTCCTTCTGAACACACACAATCTCAAATCTAGAAGCAAATTGTCTAGAGCCTCTAACTACTCAGACCATGCTTGTAGTATGCATTGAAACTATGTATTTCAAGTTTGCTTCAAAAATAAGTTTCAAACCCATAACATGTGATTTTTAAAATCTGATTGCTAGAGCCTCCAAAACTTTTTCTCTATAAATAGAGAAGTTGTTTGCAAGCTAACAAATGAATACACAAGCCTTAAAAAACCCTCAAACACTCTGAAATCAGAACTTTCATCAAAACCTCCATTGTTGCAACTTTTGGCCAAAAACTTCAAACTCACAAACCCACTCGTGCGTTTTCACTTTTAATCAGTCACAAAGCTTCCATATCTCATTTACAACTCATCCCCACCCTTGTTTCATAACTGTAACTTCATCTTCATCATCTTCCAAACTCAAAAACAGCCACCTGTAACTTGACTTCTCCAGAAGAATCCAACCACTCTCAGCTCAAAGTAAGCATCGCAATAACTTCATAGGAGTTCAGTGAAGTTATCCAGATCATCACAACACCTCCAGGAGTGCTCAAACTCCAAATACGATATCCAATTTTAAGGTAATTTTTCTCAACTTTGAACTCCTTATACAAGCATCATTAATGGTTACTTTATGAATAAAAATGTAGATATCATTTCCCTGAAGCTAACCATGTCCATAGTTTTCATTTTGATTGACTGAGCAATGAGAATTTTAGAACTGAAAATTCTGATATTTTAGGGTTCAGTTTGGTACCAAACAAAATTCATGTTAATCTTTGA